GCTATTGGTGATGATGATGATGATGATGATGATGTGATGATCATGATGATGATGATGATCATGATCATGATCATGATGTGTAAGTTTAACAGCTTGGCCATCGTCGCCAGCATCAAAGCATGATGGACAACATCATCATCATCACCATCATCATCATCATCATAATCATCGTCATCTCCATGAGATAACCGAACAGGCATTACTGTAGCATTCGCAACAGGACGACGGCGCGTATCGGAACGTCACGCTGCCCATCGCCATCTTTCTGAGCAAGGAGAGCTCCTGTCGGGACATCATCGAGGCCTCGACCCGTGGCAGCAACATGCGAAGCTGGCAAAATCTCACACTCGCAGAAAGAGTCTCTGGTTGGAAGAGGGCGTGCTTTAGTTTGTTTTGTTTGATCGGGGGACATTCTGACTCAGGTATCGAACTGAGAACTGATTTCTGACTGCTGGATGCTGAGACCCGCTACTTTCCTGAAACAATACAGTACTCGAAACCCGAAACCCGAACTCTACACCCCAAACCCTGGGTGCATTTAAGAGGGCCCGATACGGCCCAGAATCGACCAATTTGGTGCACCTGCATTGCAGAATCCTGCGCCCCAAAATGCCCACCGATTCAAATCAAAGCCAAGTAGTCTACGCGGAAAGCAAGCCTGCAGCACTTGCATCATTGCTCGGTTGGCAGGCCTTCTTTCGCGAGCCAGTGCCTGAAGCACCTGAAGCTGAAACAGACGAAGGCCGCAAACTTCGAGTTGTGTAGCACTCCTTTCATCCCTTCGCGTGGGATCCCCAGCAGGTTAGAAAGAGCGATTAGATCTGGCTTGGAGCCTAGGCCTAGGGTGTAGGATGGGCTCAGGGTTTGCAATGGGTTTGGGGATGTTGAACCACATAGCGACCCCATGGGTTCGAGAATCCGTCACTTTTGGGCTTGGCCCTCGATGTAAAACCGAAGCTGGAAGCCAGTTAAGAATCGCTTCCACACTCATACCTTCGTCGTGCGAGCCTTGACGGCAAAAAGTCTTACACTGAACCCCATAAAGTTGGAACATGGATTTAGGATGATTAGTACTAGGATTCCTTGTGCTACTTTACTTTAAGGGCATGAGGGTTGTCATGTTCCAACTTTCTGCCTTCTATAGGCCATAGGCGTTAGGACAGTTGGGAGGTGGGACATTAAGACGATGCTTTGCGGAGATTAGATCTTGTCTCAATGCACACTGAAAAGGCGGTATGTTTCCCATGCGGGGACCGTGAGCTTGAGTGCTACAAGGGCTGGAGCTTTTGGGCGAAGCCGGATGTCGGGGTGTTGATTTCACTGAACTTCAACGAGTCTATTGTATCTTCCGTTTTTTTCCGGCGTAGTCTTGCTGGCTGATTCAGGCTTTCCAAGAAAGTTGTAGATGTGTCCCCATAGAATAAGGGCCTAACTGTCGAGAAAGAAGGATCCCCCCCCACAGGATCCCCAAAACCCTAAACCCTAAACCCTAAACCCAATTGCCTAAACCCTACACCCTAAACCCTAAACCCAATTGCAAGAAGCTCCCTTTGTCTTCATGGGACCAGGCCGGCAGTCTACAAACTCGAGGGCCCTGAGGCGCTCGAAGTCCTTCTCAAAGCGACGGGCCGCCTGGCCAAGCACGGGATGCCCAAAAAATGGGGGGGGGGTAGTTGTCGAAGTTAGGGCTCCCTTTTCGATTCCTTTTTGCAAGGGTGCCGTACTATTTTGGGGATCTAAAAAGGGGCCTTGAATTTAGAGAACTACCCAAATCAATCTGCAGACTGAGAGCCTTAGAGAGATCCCAGAGGTCAGCCATGGCTCAGGGTGAGTGGAAGCCTGAGCTCGCAGCCGAGGCCATCAGAGGCTTGTGGCAGAGCTTGCGTGCCTTGGCTTCGGAATGCAAATTACATCTTTGCGCGGCTGCAGCTTGCCTCTGGTTCAGGCGAGTTGGGCTCTCATGTCCCGGGATCTCACTGTCCGCAGCTCGACTTGCGGAAAGCTCTGCGATTCGTTTCTAAAAGGCTGCAGTGCTCACCTTATGCATCGCCGGCCGCCGTGGCTCGAGGTGGAGGTTTTGGCAGTTCCCAGAGCCTCCCAAGCCCCCAACCTGCTGCAGATGCAGAGAGTTACAGAGAGCAGCACACAGCCCGTAGATGTGACCTGACATGCCGGCGAACACCGAGCATCTCGCCCGATCGTGGGGCTCGCATCCAGGCCCGGTTCGCGCATACGATGTCACCATGTCCAAGTTGCCACGGAGCTGCTTCGATGCCCTTAGCCATCATTGCCCCCATGTTGCTGTAGTGCCTGCATAAACCGCCAACATAGCATCACCAAAGTTCGATGGCGCCAGGCAGGGTCTGGAGAAGCGTGTCCGGCTGCACAGAACCCCGTCAGCTTATGGGTTGTTCGTGCATGTTTATGATGCACTTAAAACTTGAGCCTGAGTTTCGTATCACGGCTCAGGATGGCTTCTTGTGGTTGCATCTAGGTAACTTTAGCTTCATCAGCAATGAGGAGAACGTGTGTGTCCTTGGTGCAGCGTTCTTCTTCTTCAAGTCGTTGAACGTGTCACTGCTACTGGTTGGTGCTGCTGTTTCATGTCGCGAATTTCTGCATACCTATTGCTAGCGGACATTCTTTGTAAAACATTCATCCCTCCTCGTGTACGACTTCTGCTGTAACTTATGCTTGTGCCTTCAGTTTTGGTTGGGCACCTGAAGATACGTGAACCCTTGTCCCAAAATCCCAGACCCAAACCCAAGACCTCAATCCTGAGTTTTCGCACGGAGCAAATGGCTCTCAGCACATTGAAGCGCTTTGTGGAGAGGCGAACCTGCCGTGGGCAAAGAGGGAATGAGAGAAAGCTCCACTTGATGAGGAAGACACAAATCGAGATGTGTACGAATTTGGCATCCGGCGCACTCTGCAGCCTCCGGAGCGCTCTGTAGCCGTTCTAGTAGCCTTAAAGCCAGCCTGAAATTGAATATCTCAAAGATCCCTTGAGGAATTTTCCAGCTCCTGGTGGTGGCAATCGCCCAAGGCATGGCCCGGAGGCTCTTGGAACGGCCGACTCTCTGCCGGGTTCGCGAGCTTTTCGGAATTGTGCAAATCGAAGACTTGGAAGTTCTGGGAGCTGTCGGATTCTGCATGGTTCTGCCCGTTATCTTGGATGTTTAAGAGTACGAAGCTTTCCGGACTCAGGAGCTTGGGACTTTAGGGTCGGAATCGAGGGGGTTCGAGTCAAGGAGGCGTTGGCTCAGTGCATTGCTTGGCATATCCGGCTTGGCCTCCGTCCCGCTTAGGAGATTGGTGGCAAGCTGCCTGGCAAGACGGGGACGAAACCCTGAAGGCCAACTTCAACAAACTTGGGGTGAGACTGAGACTCTGTGCTGCTGATGCTGTTAATCCAAGATGAGCACGAGCCAACTGCAATCAGAGGCCTGAATTTCAGGGCTCCTATTTGTTCTGTTCAATATATCCCCAAACCCTGTTCTGAAATTCAGGCCCCCTATGTTTGACAAGAAGCCTCGAGCCCGAAGCCGATAAACGGAGGTTGAAGAACTAAGGGAGATATCCCGTCCCAGCGGTTGAACTTGGAACGTGACTGGTGCAAGAGTCGTGCAGCAGGACGGATAGCAGAGCAATAGGTCCACATGCGGTCAGTGCCAACGTTGTGTGGTTTGTGAGTTGCCAACCCTCGGCAAGGGCAATGTGCGCCGGTGGAGGGCACGTGATCCCAGCAGCTCCGACTCAGGTGCTTGCCTGCAGCTACGGTAGCCAACAACGTACCTCAAGGGCAAGACTTGCAAAAACAGTTGACTTTGCATTGCCGGGCGACTGAAGGCTGAATGGAGTCTTTATTCCCACGAAATGCTGGAACGGCAAGAGAACAGCTCCATCGAATTCGCGCCCCTGAGCCTTCGGCGAGGTGAGAGACTCGACACTGCTGGAGAAGTGGCACGGGACGTAGGGGCCGAAGGTGTGATCCACAGCGGTGTTCTAGGAGCTTCCAGATTCCATCACAGCACCGAAGCAAGTCCTTCGCTCCTCGGCGACACTTGCCAAGCATTGCTTGCTGCCCCGAGCGCTTTCGAAACCCTCAAAGCGGGCTTTGGTGAACCCATAAATATATCGTGACAGGAGCAGTGGCAGAACCAATGATGGGCATGATGGTCAGGATGATGATGGTGATGATGCCGAGGATGATCTTGATGCTGGCGATGATGAGGATGATTACGGTGGCAATGCGGATTGCGATGTTGATGATCCTGAGCAAAGTTATGATGAAGAAGGTGATGATGATGATGATGATGATGATGACGATGATGATGATGATGATGATGACGTTCATGATGATGACCACGACGATGATGATGATGACGATGACGATGACGATGACGATGACGATGACGATTAGGCGCTTAGGTGCACGCACAACGCGGCAAGGAAAGGCTTACAGGCTCCATGTTCAGCCTTCCAAGACCGTCGCACAGTGGCCGGGTTGAGCGGGAGCTGTGAGGCCAATTCACACAGAGCTTCCATGCCGCATGGAAACAATGACGGGGAAAACCACAGCTGAGACGAGGGGTGTGGTTCAAAAAGGGTCACAGAGTGCCTGGAGCTTGTGAGACTAGGTAACATGTTCCTGACGAGGTAACATGCTTTCATGTCACAGTCAGAGCTGTCTGTTGCAAGTCCGAAAGCAGACCTCTAGGTATCATCTGAAATTCTGTGTGCCGTGCCGGCCTCCACAATCAAGCAGGCAGGCACGGAGTCTGTAGCATGCATGGGCACAGTTTAGGTCCGGCCCCAAAGCTTCCTCCCCAACGGCCAGAACCCGGAGCATCCCGAAACAACACAAACCCCGAAACCCACAACCCTGGAACCCAAAACCCAGAACTTGACAAGATTTGTTACTCGTGCAGGCGTTTCAGCACCGAGGCATCCCAAAGCTTGCCTGAGTAGTTTGTCTCCAGACGCCATGGCTGCC